TAGTCCTGAAAAGGACTTTTTGAGTAGGTATGCCTAGTCCTGAAAAGGACTTTATGAGTGGGTATGCCTAGTCCTGAAAAGGACTTTTAAGTTATGTTATGTTATGTCTAGTTCTAAAACTATTAATTAACTAAGTTAAACTACCTATTATGTTTTATATGTTAAATTTATACTCCTATCTTTTTGACTAGAATACATGTTTATAATATCATCGTAAAATGATTCAGTTTTTTTAAGTTGGTGAATCAAGGACTTTTCAATTGATAGTATTGAAAGAGAACTTAAACGAACTTGTGAAATACTATTTCGAGAACAGGTTTTAATTCTTTTGAGGCAAGAGAAACTTCTTTCATTTGATACACTAGTTGATGGTATGGTTAAAATAAGAATAAATAATTTATAAGATTCAGGTAAAATGTCTTTCAATGCATCTTGTTCAATAATTTTAACCATGTCATAGATGTGTAATAAATTTTGATATTTTACATCACTATACAAAACCTCCAATTCAACTTTTAATGTATTAATATTATAAAATATATTAGAATAAGTTGATTTCAAATTATTTAAAGCATTTACAGGAAATCTATTTGAATATTCTTTAAATTTAGTTACATCAGCTAACTGTAAAAAAAGTAATTTATTTGTATCTTGAAATCTGGTATTTAATTGCATTAGAATATTATCAATTATTTCATAAAACAATATTTTAAAACTTGATTGATTATTAGATTCATTTCTTGTAGCTTTTGGAGGTTTTGTAAGAGTAACCGCTTGATTAAATAATTTTGAAAATTCAGGTTCATTTCTTTTTTTATTTATAAGATCATATGTTATATTTATTTTTCTCAAGCAAAATTCTACATCAAATGATTTATTTTGGAGTATGTTAAATAAATTGTCAGTATATATGAATATATCACTAAATATCAGTGATAAGAAAGCAAATTCAAAAGTTTTTAAATTTTTTAAATGACCAATAGCACCACAAATAGATTCAGGTGACGATTTTGGATCTTTGCTAATACAGTCAAAAACATTTATAAACCCAGGCCACTCATTAACTATTGTGTGTAAAATTTTTGACCGTGAGGACCATCTTGTTTGAACAAATTGAGGAATTCTTTTCCCCACAATAGTATCTACAAAATTAGTACGCGAAGTGGAATTGTGAAAATAAGCAGCAATACCAGTGAGGTTAGCAAAAAATATACGACATTTAGCATTTATACTACAACCATGTTGCAGTACCAAATTTAATCTGTGAGCTAGGCAGTGTGTAAATAAAGCATTAGGTGCAACTTCCTTAACTCTAGCCTGTAAACCTGTTAAATGCCCAGACATTACACATGCCCCATCATAACATTGTCCAACTAATTTATTTTTTATATCAAACTCATGTAAAACAGAATTAACCAAATTAAATAAACCTTCAGCCGTGCGGTCTTCACTAACATTATGAAAACCCAAGAAACGCTCAACCAATTCAGATTTATCTGTAACATATCTAATTATTATTGAACATTGTGTTTTTTGACTGATATCTGTAGTATCGTCAATTTGAATAGAATAAAATTTACATTGCCTGATTTCATTTTTTATTTGGTTTATTAAAAATTCAGAAATGCATGAAATTAAATCATTTTGTATGGACTTGGACATACCTGAGAATATGTTTTTTATACTATTATAATGATTTTGTATTTCTTGAGAGCACCAAATAATATGCATATCAAATAACTCTCTAAAATTCCCTTTATTTAATGAATCACTGCTTTCATCATGACCTCTAAATGCCAACTCTTGTTTTCCCAAAAATAAAACCAAATCGATTAAGTACTTCATAAATAAACGATTCAATCTCACATTTTCATTATAATTTTTTTTAAACAAATTACCATGTTCATTAACAACATCTAGTATAGTAAAACAATTTTTTTCTAGGTTTTTTAATCCTAAATGATTATGAATATGTTCTTTTGATGATTGATGTATTTGTATACCCCTAGATAAATTTTTTAAATCATAATACCCAGTAGTATTCCACACAGACTTCATTTTACCCAACAACAAACATGGCCAACAAAATAATTTTTGTATATAATGACTTCCACATAACCAAGAGTGTTTTTGATATAAATTTGGATTAAATGACCTACAGAATACCTTACTTAGTTTCTTGTCAGGAGCCAAGGCTGACAAAATCGGAATAGGCTTACCAACTTTTAGTAGATCATTTTTAGTATCAGAATTCCAACGTCGAAACGGCGTCTCCAACAACATGACTACCACGTCTGTCACTGGATACATAACTCCAACAGTAATCAAAGTAATGTTTAACAAAAAAAACTGCAGCACTCGTAAATAATTTTAACGAACCAACGTAAGACCCAAGCGAGTAGCGACAATTTGAAGTTTGAATACAGAAATGTCAAATGACTAATGATAAATATAAAATTATTATCAACAGATATTACAACGGACAACGGTTTAATTGGGAATGTCCCGTGTCTCGACTCTCGACTGTAACAATAACAACTTTACTGATAATGTGTTTTTACGTTGAAATGCCGGCTGACCATAATATTACTGTATACCGCGTCTATTTTTAGTACATAAGGCAATGTTAGTCGAGCCTCCGATGTTCATTGCGCATGCGCAACTCTACTTATTTAAAGGTCGCGTGCATTCGCGTACATACGCTTGTGTGTGTAATAATTCATGTACACAATAGTACCATACTCCGAGGCGAAATGAACGGAGCCTCAGCTGGGACGTCATCGGAACATTGCCGCCGGTTGAAACACCAGCGTTTGTTTACGTAATAATTATTTCATTCATTTCTTATCGGTTTATCACTATTTTTTGGTAATAAACACTAAATGATAATATGATTTACCATTTACGATATAATAAAATATGATAATTCTTATTATTAAACAATAAACATGGCAAAGAAGAATTTTTTCTCAAATAAAATCATAAAAACGTTAAAAATTAATATCGAAATATATGCTATCGTTGGGCCAAAAATGATACTTTTTGCGTATTTTTTTACTTAAAATTGTAGGTTAGGCGGCGCCTAACTTGCCTCACCCCCAAAACCGCCACTGCAAATGCAAAAGTTATACGTAAATATATTAAATATAAATATGTTAATTTGTTTGGATGGTTAAATGATTTATGTTTCTTTGCCGAGTCATATAAAATCTTCATTATAATATTATAAATCATGGATGCAATACATAAAACCAACATACCTAATAATTTACAGAAACTTTTTAAAAATAAAGAACGTTTTTCTTCGAATAATATATAGTGGTAATCGGAAATATCTAACTAAAGTAAATTGGAACAATCAGTTTGAAAAAATGTAATATTTCAAAAATCTGGAATTACATTTAAAACGTAAGAGATCTATTTTACTAGATCCTTTAAATTTTGATTAATCATCGGAAAGTTAAAGTAGTGATTTTCGATTGTTATTTCAGTAGAAATGGAATTTCTATGTATCATTTCTCATTATATTTTCATCGGTAAAATACAATTAAGGAAGTTTTAAGATTGAGGGAATAAAACACAAGATAATATTACAGGAATGATACACATCATATATGTTTGCGTTTATCCTTTTTAATGTCCTATGTGACCTCGTTTTTAAGTCAAATGGCCCGTCACGTTTCGCTGACTGTAACCATTATCATAAGTATAAACATTTTTCATTCAATAATGGACATATTGTTAAAATAGTACAAACTTTTGGACATTGTTTATTATTATTAGATACACCTACAATCTACAGACTACAGTATAAACTTATTACGCATAATCAATTATGTTTACAGTTCATTTTCACCAACTTTATATACAATATAATACAATTATTATGATAAAATCTGTTTTTGATTTGTTAAATATTATATTCAGTTTTCCGCCAACGACAAATTACGTTTGAAATTCACCAACGAACATATAATATATTAATTTTAAGAAATGTCACGTCGTATTCTAATGATTGATTTACGTAACACAATACTCTGGTGTACCCATATAGTATTATGCCATTACGGTAAACGTACACAACCGTAGAACTTTAAGCTGCCGAAAGCATAATAATATAATTCACTACACGCTCTATATTGCAGTGCCTATGCCCAAGTGTGCACCTGTTGCGTTTAGCACGCGTCGCGGATAATTCCTCAACGTGTTTACAACACTGCAGTCCCTAAAATATTGTTTTATTGTAAACTATGTGCTCAAGGTGCACACAAGTCGTATACTCAGAATACGACATATAGGTAATACGCATTTATACATGAATAATTGTAAGATAAAAAAAATGTACGTATACGTTTCCGCGATTAGTTCTCTGCGAGGGAAACAGTGTGCGACACTTGATTATTATTCGTTAAAAAAAGTGTCTCATACATTTTTCCATAGTCTTCGAGGTATGAAAATATAATCGGAAACTTAATTTACGAATTTCGGGTCATCCGCTATATCGCCCGCGCATTTAAATAGTTTAAAAATGTAAACCGCCATTTATCGTCCGCCGTACGGTGACCGTACCTCCTACATTATCGTTATATGTATTATAATATACAGTATGCACATAAAGCATAACCGACGGTTAAGACGCTTTATGGTAATACATATCGAACGGACGCTATCGAGTATTGAGAAAATAACAGTGTGTGCGTGTGTGTACACGTATTATTATACGCCATTAGGCGAGGACAAGTACTCTGGCGATTGTCCAAGTTATCAATTAACCCGATCTCCTCCGGGTAATATATGCTCTATTAGGCCGACATAAACTCTCCCCCGTTTCGTGCAGAGATCCATCTGGAATCTGCTGTTTATATCGCTCGCTCGGGCGCGCGTGAAGAGAAGGAAAAAACAATCGGAAAACGTTTTGCGTGCTCGCAGTGCGGGGACTTGACGCGGAGGACATAAAATATAACGACGTCGTGGCGTATAAAAAACAAATATTCGCGTAAAATCGAAGGGTATAATAGCGAGTTTTTAAAAAAAAAAACAGTCTCTTTTATCCAAATAAATCCGACGCTGTGAACGACGCTATGCGTCATAAAATGATATCGGTTCGTTTCGAACTGCGCAGACCGGCACGACAGGAGAGCATTAATAATATCGTAACATTCGTAACCATATTATTTATTTAGCGAAAACGGAGCCGACACGACCGCATTAGTAAACGTCGTCGGCAGCCGCCATATACCCGATGACCCGTCTGAGTCTCGTCGCGGACCAAAATGGATTCGGACACAACTCTGCACTAAAAACTGTGATTAGTTGATTATAATAATATTGTGTAATAATGTTTTTACGGACATCGGTTGTGGTACTGTCAGCGTGGGATTAACATCATCGTACAGAATACAGAACACATTAAATATATATACCACATATATCTATACATATACTATACTATGTATATGTATTCAGCCGATTAATAATAATCATTTCTGCAGCGATATACAGGTACACCGAATAATATATACAACGGGGGAGCGATTTTTTTCACGAATAAGGCACCTGTCGGATTGAAAAACTAACGCTTAAAAACGAGTCGACTTCGTGAAAAAAATAATCGACGAGTGTAATATGATGTAGTAATAAAAGTAATAAGTGCCGTATAATCTGTCGTAACGATAACATTAGTAAATATCTGCACGTATATACAATAATACTGTACGTCGATATAGTTGTACCCATAAAATATAATAATGTTATTCAAGTATTATGCCTCGACCGCACACTTGCTCTCGCGGTTTGTTGTAGACAGTTGAAAAACATTCTTTCCTGAACGGTTTTATACAATATTATTATTATTATTATTGTTGCCGCGTGCGTAATATTAAAAAAAAAATCATCACATAAACTACTTATTGCACCCCTCCTACCCTAATAATATGTGCAGATCAAGGCTAATCGCATAGGCATCGACCTTATCCGAATAAAAGCAATTTGCACGAACATCAAAACGCGTTCACGCGCGCGTACTAATTATGCAACAGGTTAATATTCTACTCAATATTATTATTATTACTGTTGTTGTTATTAATTATTATTATTTAGAATATTGCCGCGAAGAGTATAACGCACGCAAATGTATTATAATATCAATATTATGTTTGCACCGATTTATTGAATCCTGTCGTACGACTCCTTCGGATAATAATCTGCATATCGCGGTAGTATACAGTTCGTTTTATATATACTATACGATTATGAGGCGTATAGGTGATTTCAATCGCCATTAATTTTTTTTTTTTTTAACTTTATTATAACTAACCGCTCATATCTTCAATTAATAAAATATTATTATAGCACACTGCGTGTAATATACCTATCATACGAGCATTCAATTAAAATGTATCATCAAAACATCACAATTCCAATAAATTAATATCGATTAAAGTATGTGTGTATACTCAAAAACTGTGCAATAAAGTGTCGATAAGAAAAGGCGCTGAAATTAGTTTTGTTGTGTAAAAATTTAGAAAAATTTACTTAAAAAGTGGCTGGTAATATAGAGAACTCTCGGAATATATTTTACACCAGCCATTTAAATGGCGTATGTCGACAAAAGAAACATGTGCTGATATCATAATATAATAGTGGTATACCTCTGTAAGTGCAACGTGGGAACGAATGCTGTGAAATAATGTGATAATGTGAAATCGTATTTATCTTTATTTTGGGAGGTTTCACGACGAAAACAAATTTGTAAAAAATTCCTTCTATTTATTTTGCCAACAAACAGTCGTATATTACATACGGCGAATTTAATGTAAACGTTATTTGGAAAAATACATCAAAGAGGCGGCCACAGGAAATGAATATAATATAGGTACATTACACACAGTACACATATGTATGTGGTTTTCGTGCAAGGTTAAATGCACTCGATACGAAAATAAAAATTATTGTAAAATATAATTTTAAGGATGGTATTTCCTTGGAAAACAAACATTCGAAATTCCAGGGACATCGCCACAGATTAAAATTATTTCTATTTATTTATCAAATGTATAACATTGACGTATATCAATAATAATTATATTTTCAAGTTTCAACTCACTACGCTATCGTTGATTTCAGATTCCAATAGATGCAGCAGAAATAAACGGTATTCAAGGATAAAAGCATTGCAAAAAAGGTAATATATTTTTTTTTAATCTGATTGATAATAATATTGTAATAATATTTGTTTGATCAAACAATATTAAATAGAAACCAATAGAGCATATGAATTACTTTTCTAACCGGGTAGCCAGAGAAAAATC